TCTTTGACTATGTCATTTTAGTACAATTTAAAAGTTATGTAACGACTGTACTATACAGACTCATTTTCATCCCCCTCTAACTGATAAACAATTCTTGATGCTGCTGGGTGCTGTCCATCGCTAGACAGGGGTAGATAGTACTTGGTACTTGGGTGGGTGGGGTCAATTTTTTTTTTTTTTTACCAATTGTTGTTTTTTAATGTATAATTTTCTGTAATTGCTAATTTTTATGTGAAGCGCAGTGAACCCAGACCTGTTTACTCTTACGATTTTGGCATACAATGTACGATTTTGAGGTGTATAGATTGTATATACTGTATGTTTTTTTTACTATGAATATAATGTGTTAAATGACTTTGTGATGATATTGTACGATTTGAAGTGTTTGAGGGTAAACAGGTCTGTGAACCTAGTCCTAGGCTGGGTTACTGCACTTTATAAAGCCACCTAAATAATTATAATAATAAATCTAGTGATAGTGAAATGCTAATGTACATTTCTAGGCTACAAACCTGCTGATCTCAGATTCTATTATAGCTATAGCAGCATCCAGTTTAATGTTAGCAGGGTTTGGAAGCAATCTGAAAAAAAGTTAATATATGAAAAAAAGGAATTAGTTAGAAATATTGAGATAACACAATTTAAATGACTTTTTCAGTAAAAAAGAACGAAGTGGCTATTCGGACCTGGGTCTGAGAAGTGAGAGGTTGGGATTAAAATTTTTAAAAATAAATATTATTGTTAGATTGTAAGACAAAATTTGGTATCAATGAAAGATAACTGAAAGGGACCCGGGTCCGAATAAAGGAGCTGCGTGTCCCGGTCCATTTTGACTAAATGCTATACGGATGTCACTTGTTGTAGTTTATTTTAGTTAAACTAAGAAGTAAGTTTACAAAAATATAGTCCATTCAATTATCTTTAATTTGATACCTAATTTTGTCTTACAGCCCTACAATATTTTAAAATATTTTTTAATAAATCCAAACTCTCACTTTTCGGACCCAGGTCCCAATAGCCGCAGCCAAAAAATAATTTAAAACCACATTAAGAAAACTAGTCAGATTCTGCTTACCTTTGGTCTGTGATATCAGAAGATGGACTTTTCTGGCTCCCAGATTCTGAACTACTCTGACTATCAAAATTAGCATCTGGTATAAGAAACAAAAGAATCATGTCCTTAGAAAATCCACAAGATTTTACTTCCACAGCTAAAGATTCAATGTAAAATTCTTTTTTTTTTTTTTAAATTTGAATATAATGAGCATTCAATTTTTAAAATAAAAGAATGTAATGCTTACCTAAAGGAAGCTTGAGTTCAATATCTCCAGTAATGGATCTTCTATGACATGACAGGCTTGATCTCCGTTTCTTCTTTTCTTTTCTAATACTGTCCCCTTCTCTTTTTCGACGCGTGGATACATCACATATTGGCAACTGGATGTCTCCAATTATAGAACTACTACGGTTTTCATCAAATATTTCATGCTCCATCTGTGTTTTTTCTAAAAAAAAATAAATAGTCATTTCTCTATTAAATGTGATGATTTCTATAATAAAGAGACTTTTTTAAAAATTTGCATTTTGTTGTAACATTTAACATTCAAATCAAGCTTCTATATGGATACTTGAGGCTGGGAAACATCAAGTACAAACCTAAGCCCACAAAAACAACAGCAAACTTGATATGTGGTGACAATTGATGGTCAAATTACAAAAAATATATAAAAACTATATTTGAATTTAACCATCGATGAATCTTAGAAAGAACAACAAAATTAATTATCTTTGTCTTACTCTTAGTCTCAGCAGTAAGTGTGTGTTAAGTTCTTGGAATCAGCTGAAATTTATAAAAAATATTTGTAATTTAAAAAACAAAAAGCAATGTCGAAGTTGAGTGTAACACTTGGTGATTGGTGGATAATGACTAATGAGCATTGGATTAATTGGAATATAAACAAATTATAAAAAGTGGTAAAATACTTTTCAGCTAGTAACTATAGTATAGGTCTACTATATCTCCAGCAATGGTAAGTGTTTCATCATTGCCATGGTACACATAGTCAGATTTATTCAATGGTTTGGCTGACAATTACTAACACTAATACTAGACCACTTACTAAAACTTACTTGAAATTAAACAATATTTACAATAGCTGCTGTCTCCGTTTCAAAATAGCATAATCATGACCAGGTCATGACCATGACTCATAATAACTGGTGTTAAAGTTAAAATCATAAATATAAATTAAAAGTAAACAAAAGGTTGAGCATTGAGACCCCGGACTTTTAATTTTTAAACGAATATCAAAGCCTAGCATATTCTCTGACTATGATATACTGATTATTACACTTACTTATACAGTACTTTACTTATACTATACGACTATAATGTGACTATAACTATACTTATAAACTTATAACTTATACTTATATATTATATACTAGTCTTAAAGTATAAATAACGGTATAGTGAGTATAATTATTAAGGTAAATGTGAAGAGATAGCACCGCGTTTTTGTAATGGTTATCATGTACACTTTTGTAATTCCTTTAGTAATACTCTTGTTACATGAATGACACAATCTTACATATTATAGTTGTTACACAAAAACATCAAATTTATTTTCACCCGGAAACACACCCTTTCCAATATTGAAAAAACCGCTTCTCACTGTGAATTTTGTGCCGGATAGGATGATAGCACTTCTCCCTCCTCCGTTTCGGGAAAGTAAGAGATAATTTAAAGGAACAAACAAAAAGCATTGCTTCATGTACAATTTTGTTTCATTTTATTTATCTTCATTTACATCTAAGTTTATGTGTATTGAATTTAAGAATAATAAATTGCATACTCTTTTATATTGAATATGGTAAATGGCGCATAAAAAAACATCAATCTCCTGAGAGGGTGGGGGGGGGGTATCTAACGAAAGTGACAATTTGTGACACGAGGAAAAAAAAGAGGGGGGTATTGATCTTGTGTGACATCACACGTATTTTATTATTTTTGTAGCATACATATAACCAAAGAATAATAAATTGCATACTTTTTGATATTGAATAGGGTAAATGGCGCAAAAAAAAACATCAATCTCCTGAGAGGGGGGGGTGGGGGGTATCTAACGAAAGTGACAATTTGTGACACGAGGAAAAAAAAGAGGGGGGTATTGATCTTGTGTGACATCACACGTATTTTATTATTTTTGTAGCATACATATAACCCTAATATTGGACAGAGATGTTGAGCTTTTGTTGACAATGTCACTTTTATAAACTTAATCGTTTTTTAAATTTATTTTAGTGAAGTGGGTTTTGGATTTAATTCTCATTTGCTTTTATCTTTTTAACCCTTTTTTTTTTTAGTTCGAAGGTGTTAGGTGTCAAATTGTCAAAAATAGCGTGGCGTACTCTATGACGGCTCTATATAATATAGTAATGGCTGTTGGAATCCGAAGTCCAGCAAAGATATCTCGTAAATCCACTGAGCTGAAATTCGATGGAGTCGAAACTATGCTTTTTGGCACCATGAGCGACCCCTGCTCTTACTTTTGGCACCCACAGACCGATAGGGGAAAGCTAAAGAATTTTGTTAAAAATGGCGACTTCGTGGTTGTCTTGGCACCCTCTACCAGAGCTACCACTTATATCACCCACCCATTGTTTTGGTTCGATTTATTTATATTCATACGGTATCAATTTATACTGCAAATGGGCCAAAATGTACATAATAACTATCAAAAGCTTCTCCTTAGGCGGTTAAAATATGATTAAACATATAATTTCTTCATTGCATTTTATTTAGTAGTAGTTTTTTTAATGATTTATGGGCAGTGTGTCGACTTTTACTTTTCATTTGCTACGACTGTGGCTATGTTGTCCAGCCCTGTCTGTGGATGAGTATCCAATAATGATACGGTTCAGACTTACACATCAAGAAAATTAACATTTATATAATGAGCAAAGCTATATTATGCACCGCGCACATGAAATACGTTCATTTTAGTGCACCAACAAAACTTACATTAAAATTAAACGTTCATGAGGACCAGCCGCAGGGCAAAAACATGATTACTTTTTTATTTGTAGGCCTATAGCTCATATAAGAACCCCCCCCCCCCACTAATTTTGTCAACGTGGATCCAGGCATCTTCCATGGCTCGAAATGCGTTTCTCCCACCCTAAACAATCTCAGGAAACAACTACCATTGCATAAAAAAGAATTTAAAAAAAGAGAACTCACAAATCCTTCATAATTACCAACATCTCAACACACAACATCTAATTACTAAAACTAAAATAAGGATACTAATGATAAATTAAAAAAAAAACACATTAAAAGCAACATAGTATAGCAATTCATTTCTCAATTAAATTAGCGACAGGAGTCCCCCAAACCCCATTTTTCTTCTCAAACCCAGTTAAGGGCCCAATATTTAATTTGAATATGTTATTAATGTATTTTTTAAAGTAACATATAAAGTAGGCTGCTTATTGAATCTCCATTCCACTCCGTTAATTAAGAAAATATATTTCCCTTATTTATAAAGTCAATTCCACAATTTGAAAGCTGTTTATTCTTTAACTGGAAATTTATTTATAAAAAGGGATAAAAATACCCATTTGCGATGATGTTTGATTTAATCTTAGATCTCGTTAAATACTATACATCGCGTTGCTATCAATACTTCCACCATTCCCAAACTTACAACCTAGAGAAATATATTTAACGGTACTTGGTGAATAAGTATTGCTTTATTATTATTATCATTAAAAAATATATATATTATGAATAAACACCACAACTTTGCATATTTGGTATTTTTTTCAGAATTGGTCCTAGCCTTTTTCATAATTTTAAGTTTTAACTTTTAGTACGGTAGTTGAATTGTCAGTTTGTCGTTGTAGACGTAGAACTAGTTTTAGTAGTTTTAGACCTACCTTAGCCCTGCCCCCACTCGGTCCTTGTTTGTAAGCAACACTACCCTAGACTCAGCACACTGACTTTTACGGATGATAGTGATAGTGCTAGTACCGTAGTCGTAGTAGTTTTAGCCAGTCTATATTCACTTACTTATTTAAACTTATTACTATTACTTAAGAGCTATTTTTATTTTTTCTCTTACTCTTGGCTCTTGCTACTCTTAGGCTTAGGGATCGCATGCAAATTACAATTAGCCCTACATCACGCTTGGGGGGGGGGGAGGGGGGTGTGTGTCAAATATTTTGACGTCACGTATTTTAAGTTTAGTTTTAATCTAAAATTTTCTAATTTTTATTTAATTAATTTTAAAAAACATTAACTTGAGGTCGAAATTGCCTCAGGTATTATAGATACCATGAAACTCAGTCGCTTACACCTTTGTATACGCCTATTGAAAAATGATGTAAAAACTGTTGTAAGTTGTAGCCATTTTACATTTGGCTTGTGGATGACTTCGTTATTTTGCATCGGCATCACAGTTTTCTAATTAGTACCGGGTACTACATCTTAATCCATTATGGGCATGGGGAAATGTTAAAGAATAAAATAAAATCTAGTTTAGTTATGAAAATTTGATGTATGTTTTGATTTTTTTAGGTGTGATGCGACACTTGGGGGGTTGGGGGTGGTGTAAAGAATTTTGTGACAGGAGTAGGGGGTCTGAAAAGGCATTTTTTGCGTGACGTAATTTACGAACAACCCCTTAGTGAATAAACCATCCCTTACTTGGCCCATACTGATACTGTAACTTACTGTAAGTTGTCTGCTTCCTTCCCCAACGGCACCAATTCTCATCCCACCATTCATACCCTTCCCTATGTTTCAGAGGTGGTCCGCCATGGCTGGTTTCTTTATATTAGTATTAGGCACCATTTTCTGCCAACTGCAGTCTTTGTCATGGAAGTCAGGCAGCAAAAAGCTTGCCCTGCCCATTGCACCACTAACCCCAGCAAGCCACTGCTGCCACTCTATCACCAGCTCCCCACCCCTACTCCATATTTTTCACAAAATAGCTTGAAGAGACGTTCACATTTGGCATTAGCTTTAATGGCCTTGATACACTTTATAACTGAATTTAGTACCGGGTACTTCATTTAGAACAGGCGAAATGTTTTTAGCTCCTAAGCTTTCCTTATGAATAACACAATGCACAAGTAGCATTTCTGTATTCTAATTCTAATGATTTACAGAACAAAATTTCTTCAGCAAAAAACCATTTATCAATATATCTTACGTAAGTTATCAATACAGCCGCATTGTCTCTCAAAGTTGATTCATCCATTTGCACTAAGAATTTTGTTTGTTTTCAGATTTTCAACAAATAGTATTTAAATATCTACACTCATTTCATCTATTCTTCTGCTAATAGTATTGTTACTGAGTGGCATCACTTTTAGGTCTTTGTCATCCTTTTCAAGAACCGTTTTAAGAAATGCTGATATTAGTGATATAGATGGTTTGATTAAATTCTCTCCTAAGCCTAAAGTATGATTTTTCGATTAGCGATTAGTAAGGAAATTTCATAACTAGTTTCAAGAGTACGATCGACAGTTGTAGTATGAGCAGTAAATAGAAACTTTAATGTTGCTCTTTTTTCAAAATACAAGTTAAATCATAGTAGCCAGTTGGTTTTAAAATTCCTGACAGCTACTCTTCAAATTGCTCCCCTAAAAAATAAAAATTCAAATTACCCCCCGTGGGGAAATTGGGAATTACCGCAGTAGATGATAATAATATGTGATGGAAATAGAGCATCATACAATAATTTAATTCAGTAAAATGTCTGTTTCAGGTTAAAAATGTTTCACCTGCCACGAACAACAACTGACTGGATCATGTTTTTTATATTTTGGTTAGGAGGACTGTGGACATTGTTCTATGAATACTATTTTATCATGTGCTCTTACCATAAAGACTGGAATAGTTATGTTATTTTTCATGTTGCTGTTGCTGGGTTCTTAGCCCTTAGTATATACACCAATATGATTCTTATCATAAGTTCTGATGTTACTACAAGAAGTGTGAGCTTATCTGCTGTTCTCCCTTCTGACAAATGGAAATACTGTGATATATGTCAACTCAGTGCACCACCACGCTCACACCACTGCAAACTTTGTAATGCATGCATCCTGAAACGGGACCACCACTGCTGGTTTGCTGGCTACTGCATTGGATTTAGCAACCATCGCTACTTCATTTGCCTTGCATTTTACATGAGCATCGCTGGAGTTTATGCAAATATTTACAACTGGGATTTCTTTTTAAGTGTTAAAGGTGGTTTTACTTGGACAACTCTTCCATCATTGATTGCACCACATGTAGGGCTAATGTTTGGGACTTACACTTTTTACGAGTTCTTTATAACAATAGTATCATCAACTGGTTTCTTGGTCACTATAGTTTTTCTGTGGCTTCTAGAAACGCAAATTTTACAATTTGTCAAGGGGCAAGTGATGCATGAAAAAAAAAAGGGTATAAATGATTATTCTTTAGGGCTGTCAAATACTTTTAATGAAATATTTGGATCAGCTGGATTCTGGGTATTCCTTTGTCCACTTGTACGCACCAAATTGCCAGGAGATGGTACTAGCTTCCTTACAAGAGATGACAAAGAGAAATAGTTTGTTTCTTATATATTTTTACTTTATTTTTAGGCTGATTGTTAAGAGAAGTTCACCATAAGGTATTTATTATAGATATTTTATTAAATTTGAATACAGTTGTTTAAAAAAAAAGGTAAATTTGATTCATATCTTAAACTAAGTTAAAGAGAAAAGTCCACTTGATCTTATTTTGGGTTTGCACCAATGCTTAGATAATGGAGTAATTATTCTATCTTTTTACCTATCTAAAATATTATTTTGTTTTATTTATACACTATGCAAAAGACTTCACTGTTTATGCAATTCCCTGTTGCAAACAAGTGTAGCTTAAACCAGTAAATTTAACTTGAGGCAGTGAAAATGTTATCATTAAGTCATTAAGTAAAGTAAAAAAACTAAATTTAACATTCACAATTACCTGTATTGCAAAAGTTTTATACCTGGTAACTAGCTTTTATCATAACTAAGTTTGAACCTTACACTCCCAGCTTTTCCTCCACTTTGAGGCATTTTTCCATAGCACACCAAACATCACCTTGTAGTACCCACCAAGTGTGCTGTGGCATGCTGGTTGCAAAGCTGTGACCTAAACAATTAAAAAGTTTGAAACCCAATATTTTTAACTTCTGTTTGACAGCAATCAGCAATATTCGCAAATAAAACCCTTTTAAAAAAATGCAGGTTGAGAATGATGGGCAGAAAAGTTGATTATTTAACTTACTACTAGTACCAGTGGCGTAGCGAGGGTGTTTGGCGCCCGGGGACAAGATCCATTTTTAGCGCCCCTTTTTCTTTTTTTCAACTCTCAAACCCATTATTTTCATCAATAAAATAATATTAAAGCACATTTTCGCGCCCCTAACTAGCTGGCGCCCGGGGACATCTGTCCCCCCCCCTGCCCCCACCACGCTACGCCTCTGACTAGTACTAGAGCTACTATAGCTCAACCTGTGTAAGGACAATGTCCAGATAAGTTGACTAATCCTTAATTCTTAATGATAAGTACCGGTACCAATGTTTTAATTGGATATTTTAAACATAAATTCTTGTTTGTATTTGAAATTCTTATTCCAAAACTAGTTAAATTAAATGTTTGCATTTGCTAAAGTTGCTTGAATAAATATTTATATTCAAAAAAATAGTACTGTATGATATTTGTGTTATTAAGTTATTATGTTCCTAACTTTCCTTCTGCCAAACAAATTTAATTGTTTCTACTTTCTGCTAACCCTTGTTCATCCTAATCATCTAATTCTAATATAATATAATATAAGTTGCCAACCTTGAATAAATAATCCCCAAGGGGGTGTCCACTAATTACTTCAACAATTTTTAAGCATCCCCCCTTCCCACCTCTTTGTGCAGATCTATTTTAATGACACAAAATTGTAGGAACATTTTTTAATTACATCTTTAGCTTGTTAATCAACAAGTTAAAAAGTTTTTACACTTAAATTTTATAACGCAGAATCAATGAAAAGGTTGTTAAAGACTAAATATCATTTTTAGTGGAAGTATAAATTATGACTATTTTCAGTATAGCTGACAATTGTAGTATAGTTTCTAGCTGCTATCATCTTCCCATGGAGTAGCCAGGTGTTGCTGTATCGTAACAATGGGCATAGTAGCTGATTGATCATTTTCATCTGGTGGAACTATGTCAGACCAGTCAACATCATTCTCATCTAACCATTCAGCAGTTAAAATAAAAGCATTTTCAGTGTGAGCAATAATTGCCAAAGCTCTCTTTGTCTCCTGACAGCTAATCGAATTGGTCGAACCCTTTTTTTGGTTGAGGAGCAGGTAGTAATTTCTTATCCTCGAAAGAGTGAATTGTCAGTGCTGTTGAACTTGCTTTTTCAACATGATGACTCATGATGCAAAATAGATGTTGCAAACCTGTTCAAGCAGCGATGTTTTTATTGTTCCTCACTTTCTTTCCCCTGCCTAATTCTCAAATTATCATATGCCTACTCTGTCAATATCATTTATCTCGACTGCATAAGACACTTGAACCTTGTTCTATACCTGAACAACATAATCGTAAACATACCGCTCTAGTCATTTGCGACAAACAGAATCTACAAGTGAATAGAGACCACCTTTTGACTTCTCGTGCACTAACAAAGTATTCTAACAGTCTGACCAACCATCTGCAGTGCACAGACAAACAAACACACATTAAATAAATTAAATATTATTAAAAGCCTAAAAATTATATGACTATTTAATTTACACTCATTAAATTTTTTTAAATAATGTAATAACCAGTCAATTTTTAAGATTTAACATTTTAATAGAGAAAACATGATTTTTATTATTTGACTTTGGCTTAGTTGGAATCATGACCAACATTTAATAAATTATTTACTAAATTAATTATTATATTATAATTTATAGACTAAATCTAAATGACAATCATAACAATGTCAATGTTGAAATGTCAGTCATTGTCATTGGGGTATAAATTCCATAAAATAATAAAATTTAGATGATAAATCATTATAATTGAAAGTCTCTGAATGGTTAAAAAATTGGAACATTCTGAAATTCACTTTATTTAGTTAATCTTTGTCCACTGTCAAAATATATACTTTACTAGAATTTATTTTTTTAGCGTTGTCGTATATTAGAATATTATATCTTTCAGCTACATAGTTCTTTTATAGTCTTTTTATTTAAACTTTTGTTCGGTATTTTTTTTACCAGTCATAATTTTTTATTTATAGTTATAGCACTTAGCCACGTCCTAACGAATGCTGCCAGATTGGTGTTACAAACTGATTTAGCTTATTTTAGGCAAGAGAAAATAATTGCGTAAAACTTTGAAATTGTACATCAATGAATTCAATGTCATTATTAACAATAAACATTTTTATTTGTAAATTCAAAAAAAAAAAAAAAATATATGCCCTCTCACGCTTAAAATTAATAAAAATGTTACAAAATCGTAAACAAAGCAACATCAAGAAAATAATTGCGTAAAACTTTAAAATTGTACAACAATTAATTCAAAATCATTATTAACAATAAACTTTTTTATTTGTAAAATCAAAAAAAAAAAAAAAATGTATGCCCTCTCACGCTGAGAATTAATAAACATGTTGCAAAATCGTAAACAAAGCAACATCGTTTGTCGCATATAATTTGTTAAGTTGAAGCTGGGTCGCTATTTAACTTTTATTTTTATGTAGTACGTTTTACGATACCCAGGTACCATTATGATTTATATTATATTCCCTTTTAAGTGTTAATAAAATTAATTTTCGTAGCTAACAAAAAAATTTAGGCCTACATAACATAATGACGCGTTGGGAGGGTAATCCAACCAGGCTATTTTACTTGTCACTATTGACAATTTTCATTGAAGTCATTAGCCTAATTTAAATTATTGTTTACTCGGACTCGAGGCTTATAACCAAGCTATGCTATGAATATGGATGACTATACTATGGGCACTATGGCTATAAAATGATAATTACCGTTTTTTCCACTTCAAACTGCACATACCGGTGCCGGTATTGAAATTCAATATTTTACTTTAATAAAATTTAACTTGGGTTATATAGTCAACTTAGAACTTGTTTTAAAGCTACGCTATTATTTAGTACTGAGACTACTGTGTGGCTACTTGGCACCGCTACATAAGTACTACATTACATACAGTCCATACAGACAGTACAGCCTACTACATCGGACACATCCACTGTGAAGTCTGCGACTGTGGTGAGTACCAATACTGAGAATTAATAAGACAAAAAGGGCCTTATTAAGGTAAGGCGAGGTCTAAACAAAAAATTCCTTGTTCAGTTATGTGAAGTTGGTTGTGACTTGCACTGCCACTAGGCAGGCACTAGGAAAGTTTATTAAAAGCTATATTTATTTTAAAAAATTAAAAATCAGTTTGTAGTGTAGTCCTCACTGTGTATGTGAATGCGATTGGTGTCACTATTACTAGTACTTCACTGGTACTAGTACTAAACTTCAAAATAATGTTCTGTACTGCAATAGTGGTACGCCTTTGCCTAAGCCTAAGTTAAAGCTATGATGCTACATCTTGTCTTCTTTAACTTTAGTTACCGTTACTTAAGTTCAAGAAATGAATCTTGTCTTAGGTTAATATATTAATATGTCATATATGAGTTGCTCATTAACCCGATCTGAGGATCAGTTTAGACATTTAAATTTTAAAAAATATTGATTACCGGTATAAATATAATAGATAAAGTTTCCAATAGTTGAAATCTATTCTGCCACCTATTTTATTTATGTACTGTACCAATAATACTTTTTATTTCAGAATTATTTGTTACAGTCGCTTGCTGTAGTTGTAGACAAATCTTAATGAACAATTACTTCTGCCTGAAGTAGAATCAAAGTGAAGATCAGATATCAAGAGCTTAAGCTCGGAGTGCTTGACTTTGTTCTCTGTGAGAATTTCATTAATATTTAACCTTTCTCTGGTTATATAGCACTGAGTGTAAGTTAGCTATTGTCATGCTGGCTAAAAAAAACAACACTATACACACTGAAGAGGAATTGGGGGGGCGGGGCTGATAAGTTAATTTTGCATTATATTTTATATATACCGGTACAGTACCCAAGAATTATGAGAGTCACAAAAGAAATAGCAAATTTCTTGTTATAGGTTTTGTCCGATCTGTCTGTGACATGTTAACTATGAATAATGAATGGCTGGGAGTGGTGGGAAGTTTGTTTGGACATTAATTTGTATATTTACTATCAAGGGCTTTAAAAAATGTACCTATAAGTGAACTGGAGGAGGGGGGAGTAGGAAATCAATTTTGGTCTACAGTCTACATGTATAAATGTTTATAGGTTACTCCTAAATGATAATAAAAAAAGACATTAAGAATTTTTCCCCAAGAATTACATTATTGTTACTTAACTAATATTCACTGAAAATAAATATTTTCCTTTAAATATTATGTTTTTCATTTCTTTACTTCCTAGGGTGGTTAACCAAAATTGATAATGGGCCAGACAACAAGTGCCCAGGGCTTTGCAGCCAACATGGTCTCACAGGGAGGTCAAGGCCAACCCGGGGGACAAAAACCAGATGATGGGGTCACTTGGTGGTGTAAAATTCTAGCGACAACTTGCTGCATTGTTGCAGGAATAAGTATGTGAGCTGGTGGTTAAGGAATTTTAGTGTTAATCTTTTTGCAGTTGAGCATTATAGAAAGATATATTAATTTTTGTAATGACTACAGCAACATTATTATTATGTTCATAAGGGACATAAAATAGTGTGGTTTATATTAGAAACACAGTGGCTGACATTAGTGAGGTAAATCTCATGGTTTACATTACTCGGTAGTGACATAAATCTCATTGACATTTGTGATATAAATCACATGGTTGACTATAATGACATAAATCTCTTGGTAGACATTAGTGACATAAATCTCTTGGTAGACATTATTGACATAAATCTCTTGGTTGACAATCATCATCATCAGTGGCGCTACCACCCATGTAGGGCCCTGGCCTGCTCCACCACATCCTTCCATTAGGATCGATCCAGGGCATTCCGCCTCCATGCTTGAACCCCCAACTGGTGTAAGTCCTTCTCTACATCGTCAATCCTCCTCAGTCTTGGTCGACTGGTGAGCTGTCTGCCCCTAGGTTTCTGCCTGTATATCACTTTTGATGCTCTACAATCCAGCATCCTTTCAATATGTCCTGTCCAGCGCAGTCTGACTTTTTTAATTGTTGCAACCATGGGTGGGTCTTTGTACAGATTGATATAGCTCTTCTTCTTCTTCTTCTATATCTTAAGGGCCCACGATCAATTTATTGATCATTTTGGCTCCTATGCATGTAGATGGGATTTGCAATGTTTCTGTTACTGGTGGTGATGAGGAAATTATGCACTAGGGGTTTGAAGGCTTGAGGCAATAGACACAAATGCGTCTAGTGTTGTCGCCTCAACTGTTCCTTTTGAAAGATGGTTCCAGTCCCTGATTGTCTTGGGCAGGAATGAGCAGCTCCTATACTGGCTTCTTGCTGGTATGAGCCTGAATTGCCTGTCATGGCCTCGTCGCTGTCTATGGGGGAGAGGGACGAGTTTCTGTTTAATACTGGAACAGTGGACCAGCCCATTATTTATCTTGTACATCATGGAGAGCCTGGATTGTCGTCTTGGTTTGTATGGATTCTCCAAACATTATTGTCTATCACTAGGCCATGTATTTTCCTGTGGATTTTCCTCTCCCATGTATTGAGCAGTTTCTCTGCTTTTCTGGTAAGGGACCAAGTCTCACTTGCATAAGTTACTACTGGTCTTATGATAGGGATGTATATTGTCTTCTTTGTTCTCCTTGAGAGGTTTTTACTTTCCAGTAGCTTTTGTAATATAAAATAGGAACAGTTGTCTGCTGTTATCCTTTCTTTCACCTCTGACATTATTTCATTTTGATTGTTTTAGTCGCCCCTATATATTTGAAAGTGGCAACTCTCTCAAAGGTGTGGTTGTTTATATTGCTGTTGTCATCAACGTAGGTATTTCGTTATATTGATGTTGTCATCAACATAGGTAATTGATGTTATTATCAACGTAGGTATTTCGTTATATTGATGTTGTCATCGACATAGGTAATTGATGTTATTATCAACGTGAATATTTCGTTACATTGATGTTGTCAACAAGGTAAGTATTTCGTGACATAATAATATATTTTGTCTTTGCTTCATATACATCAAGTCCAGCTTTGGCCGAGGCATTTTCAAGTTCCCTGAATGCTTGAATTATATCATTCCTGTTTCTGCCCAGTAGCACTATATTGTCTGTGTATGCCAGGTACTGCAATGACCGGCTATATAAAGTTCCTCATGGTTGTTCTGTAATACCTCTCTGGAAGTAGCTTGTGATGGTTCCAATGGTGCTCACGTTTATGCTTCTAATAACTTTTTCCAGTGTGATGTTGAACAGGATACATGATAGTGAGTCTCCTTGTCTGAGGCCCTGACTAACTGGGAACTCCCTCAAGTATTCTCCCTGTATATTTTGATTCTACTTTTGGAGTTAACCATCGTCATATGTATGAGCCAGGCTTGTTTATTAGGGACTCCAAGTTCCTGTAGAGCATAGTATAGGTAATTCCTGTCTACGCTATGGTATTGTGTTTTGTAATCAACATATAGTTGGTGTATGTCAATGTTATATTCATAGCATTTCTCCAGTGGACATCTAATAGTAAAAATATTATCTGTGGTTGACTTTTGTGCCGGAATCCTCATTGCTAGCCCCCTAGGATCTGTTCACTGTAACTTTCCAGTTTTCTTGCTATGAGTTTAGTGAGGACTTTGTACATTACATTAAGGTTGACATTAGTGACAAAAATCTCATGGTTGACATTAGTGACATAAATCTCATGATTGACATTAGTGATATAAAAAGCAAGGATGACATTTAATAAATCCTTTCAATCTTTGTCAACAGCTGCCTTAATCACAGGACTATTCCGACTCCTGACATTCACACCCCTGTGTTTGGTAGCTGGTATTTTACTAATGTAAGTCTTGTTCCAAACTGAACAATTATCTGTTTTTATTTTTAGTATCATAACTAAGTGAGTGTGAGTGCCCGGGGAACTTTCTTGGCACGGCTGAAATTTTTTCTATCATTACCAACAGTGATATAAAAGAAAGACCAAAAGTTAAATTACTGTATTGAGATTTATGGTTTGACTGTTCAAACTTAAATTCTTCTGTGTCTAACTAAATGTTTTCAATCCTTTTTTCTGTAATTTTAATGTATAAACTCAGAACACATTTTGCAGGTTCAAATATAATCAATATTGTGTTTGAATTAGTTTGAACATTTCATCTATATTTAGTCAAGAATTCTACACCCATGGTGAAAATGGAAATACAAACTAACTCTTAAAAAAAAATGCATTGTTAGTGTTAGCAGAAAAACAATGGTTTCTTATTAATTTTTCATTTAAGGTTTTTTATTATGATCTTAATTTTAGTTAAGTGCTTTTTCCAAAACAAATGTCATATACCATTGTTTCATTTGAAGGTTGCTAGGATTCGGTATAATATTACTAGAGGCTCCATGCTGTTGTCAGTTCTTAGACTTCATTCAACCAATCAGCAGATTCAGTGAGAGAAGGTCATATTGGCAAAAAGCTTTTGTTTATGCCATGTAAGTTGAATTTTTAAACTTACCATTTTAAAAAAAAAAAAAAAGGTGAGAATATGACTCACCTATCAAAATATTAAGAACCACATAAAATTCTCAGATATGTTTATTTTCCTAACCCTAAACAACTCAATTGATCCTAAAATTGACAGTGGTAACTTAAATTTATAAAAAAAATGATATTAAATACATGCTCTATCATGTGATATGCATTATTTCCACAGACCAGCCTTTGTGCCTCCAATAATGTGTTTTTCTATTACAACTATGTGTGGAAGTGGTCTATTAATAGCCTCTGGTGTCATCTATGGATTGATTGCTCTGGGCAAAAAGTAGGTCATGAACATGTCACACCCACGTCACTGGTGTGTGAAAAGGGGAAATTGAAATATTTAGTTTTGATTGTAATGAATCAATTTAACGTTGTTGAAACTCTGCTAGGGACATTAAAAATTTGTTTTATATTTATGAAATATTTATTTTCAAGATTAAGTAAATGGTTCTAATTTATTCAATCTTTGCTTGCAATTAAAAAATATTTGTAATTGTATTTAAATTTTATTTAAAACAATGCTTATTTCTCATTTTTTATTTTATTTTTGAATAGAGCTGATAGGGAGACCATGATGTCAAGAGCAAGGAGCGATGATGTAGAATTGAAAGAAACTTTGATCACAAACGAAGTGACGCCAATGCCAGCCAATCCCTGATGATGCTACACAGGTGTATGAAATATAGAGCTGTGATTTATTGGCTAGCAAGTGAATATTTTTTTTGGAGTTGTTGATTCATTTCTTGTATGGCTTGTTTGATGATGCTTGTCAATCTTTGCATACATGGGCCTCTTCTGAGACTGAATGTCATACATACATCAGGTGTTTGTTTTCAAAACAATAATTTTAAAAACAAATATAACTTTTCTTTGTTACGTTAGAAAAAGTATGAATAGAATAATTTAAATTTATTTTAAAAAGCTCCTTTATCTTAACATAAAAAATCAAATGCGCTTTCCTATCAATTAGTCAGTATTTTGAAGAAGAAAAAAGATTGTTGACATTTCACTTTAATTTTCGTTTCCCTTTCGTTTTAGTTGTCAAATTATCAAATAAAAATCGATTGACATTTAGACAGTAGAAAACTAAAATGAATACAATTTTCTAATGATAAGAAATGTTAATTGGTTTATAAAATGGTCCATAATGTTAATTCTATGATCCAAATGGTACAGCATAGTGTAATTAATTTATGTATGTCTTTCTTTAACAGATTATTTGAAATTGTTTTTAAGGTTCAAAGTGCACTAAATTGTAAAAACCAATCCGCTAAAAAAATGTCCCATTGGTCACAAAAAGTCAACTGAGAAAATTTAGTAATGCTTATCTGAGAGAAATATTTAGTGATACTTATGAGAGAAATATTTTTTTAAATTCATGCTCATTAAAGCTTGTTGACAATGATTGTTTAATTAGTGATATAAATTGATTGTTCATATTATGTTTTTATGCTTGGCTGTCATGGGCTCAATTTTTTAAATGTATATTATTTAATTATTATGACAATATCAATGCAATTTTGGGATGCTTGAGATTTCTGCTAAAATAGTTATAGTTATGTTTTGGGGGGTAACCTGTTTATCAAATACTTGAGCATCAAACTTTAAAATAGGGCTTGTTTCCCATTAAGTAGTGATGTTTAACAAGGACAATAGTGCTGGGCATGTAGATTACATTTTGTTTATGGTTTATGATTATGAGTTTTATAAGTTAAAGTTTATTTATTGATTAATGAAGACATACTTATTTCTTTTCTGCACACAGAACCTGTAATATATATATTTTCTGGAAATCATTAAATTTCACAAATATCCGCAACTCATTTAAAAAAAAAAAAACTAGATTCAGTATTATTCAAGTGACAGTATTTTTGTTCTCACCACTTTTCTACTTTATTTTACTAAATGTCAAAGATATTTTCTTTTACTTCTAATGCTATTTGTCAGCCTAGTAGAACACACTGAATTCATTTTATTAATTTCTATGATACCCATTATCTGATACAACATCTCTCTCTATCCCACCTCATTATCTCATATGTCAATTATTAATTATGATTCGGAATGGTACACTATACCAGGTATATAAAATATAGGGCTATTATTAATGAAGACAAAAATAATAGCTAAATTTCATCGCCAGATGAATTCTGCATCAACCTGTTTTAAATGTGTTAATTTAAGGTCAAACTATTAAAATATGTTTATTGTACCTTACGTTCCATACATTTTTGTCACCAGACATATTGTCTGGCAGTTCATTGTAAGATAATCCATTTTAATCTTTTTTATGAAGCCCATTTTTCAGTCTTAGTCTTAGCATTTTTAATATTTAAGAATTTGCTTGGGACACCACTATCTTTTTAAAAGCCAGTCATTAAATATTTTATTTTTATTAAAAATAATTTTCATTTTTTGGTCAGTGACATACATTTTAAAGATTAGAAATAATCTAAGATTGTATTAAACCTTATCCTGAAATAAATGAGTTGTAATGTGTGGTAGTGGTACTATCCAAAATAAAAATTATTTATATCTTTAATATTAAAAATCCCCATTATAGTAATTCACTTTGGCTCAGTTCATCGTGGCAAGAAACAAATCTAATTTTCCCAAATAATTCATGAGCGTGTTGAATGATAGAGAGATTTTTATTATTTTCTTAAGAACAGAAATAATGCCAAGACTTTAGTCATTCCAATTTTGTCTAAAATGTTTACTTTATAAATGATATCCACTCAAAGAGTGTGTTCCAGTTCCATGTCACAACTTTAGTTGTTAAATTGAAAGATACAAAATTGCTCTTGAATTATAAATCAGTGCACTATTTTGGGGGGATTGTTGGGTTAGAGGCTATATCTTACATGGTTATTACTATGTGTCTGTGTTTTAATTGGGGCAAATGTACTCTATTTCTGTTTATTTGTTTTCTGTACAATATTTGGTTGTTGAACATACATACAAAAATAGCTTTGTCTAAAACTAGCACCAGGTCAAGTGCTTGTATGACAAAGCTAACACCAGGTCAACTGCTTGTATGATGAAGCTTAAATGATCAAACTGTAAAAACTGGTTCAAAGAACAAAGTCAAAAAGCTAAATCTAGTAAAAAGAAACTGTTGAAAAAATTTGCAGTCACAAAATCATGAATGGCAAAGGAAAGTTTGAATAAGCTGAGTTTTAGTCCTTTTTGGTTTTTTTAATTTGGCTTACAAAATGCACATTTCTCAGTTTAAAGTAATAAAGTGTCATATTTTACTTGATGTTGGTTAAAAACTTACCAACCTTTTTTTTTTTTAACTAAAGCTTTGATTTTCATAAAGTTAATAAAATTTATCTTTATATAAAATTCAACTTGAAATAAGAACATAATGTTTTACCCCTTTGTTTTGATTTTGTTATAATATGCACTTAAAAAATATACCCTCATGCTATTACTATTAGTGACATAACAAAGTCACTCAAAACTGCACGATCGTTAAGCATTAAATGTTTATATCCAATAATATTGTAGTATAATCAGATTTTTTATGATAATCATATATTGAAATATATCTACTGGCCCAAGATAGAGAGTTACACAATTCATGATAGTTTCTATATTTTTAGTGTTATGGTGATGATTTTTGCTTTAAAACTGACAATATATTGCACTTTGACTTCTATGTTTTGACACTTTCTGTCTTTTCAAGCCAACTGCTCAGCTCTCCACACTGAAGACAAAGGAAAGTAATTGGGATCAGTATTTATTGATTGGTATCTTGATTTTTGGTTAAACATGATATGCTATGCATGTTGTTAAATTGTGATGTCAAGTTGCTGTGTAGGCCCTGCAACCTCCGTTACTACATTAATGCATTTACCTATTATTTTAACACAACATTTATCATTTGATTACTTTAAGTAGTGGGAAGACATCAGTGCAATAAAGTTGATATAATATAATAAAGTTTTAAATTAGTTTATTAAATTGTGCCAAGTTGTTTGTTGATCTCAAATGATTTAAAAAAATGTATTCAAGTCCAATTCATTAATTATTTTATAATTAACTTCTAACTAAATGAGATATAAATCTTATATAATTATATTTTATTGCTTTCATTCATTTTCATTTATGTAATGTAGGAAGTTTCAGAGATTTCCAAGCTGTCAAACTTTCATTGGGTGGATGATACAGTGACATAATCTTACTGTAAAATGACAAAATTTTGTGCCTGCCTAGTGCAACAGCTAATTAAAATATCCCCCAACTCCTGGCAAACTTTTGTGATAAAATCTTTTTTTAAACAATGATAAATGAAGGACTGCGTTCAAGCCGTGTGAAGGAAATAGTAGAACAAGGTATGCAGAAGCTTAAATAAAAAAACAGGACAAAAGATAAGAATGTTTTTATGTCAATTCCTTGATCCAGCAATAACAATGCCAATCACTTGAGTTTTTAACAATTTCCTATTTCTTTTCGCATTATCATTTGTCCTGTCCGCTAAGGTAGGCTCTTGTCCTGTCTTGATTTAAGCTTCCACATAGACATACTATTTCCTTTTTTACATAACACACTTACTGAAAGGAAAGAGATAAAATTTAATTCAAAATAGAATATTGTTGCATTAATCAACTATTAGTGTTCTGCCCTGATCGATATAACAAAAATATAGGTTGAAAATTAGCCATTATATTATATAGAAACGTCCTGAAACCAGTTTGCACTTCTGTTACTTGTGATTGCAGTTTTCTAAAGATTATTGTAAGTTCAGTAATTAATCTAAACTGGCCATGCTAACATGCACATATTTCCTGTTTTTTTAAACGGATTTAACGAATTGAATGGCAATTTAAAATAGCCACCTAAATCTAAAATAAATAAACAAGGCAAGTGTAAAGAGCATTGTACCAGTACCGGTCCAACAGCACCCCTTTTATCAATTACGGAGTCACTTAAGGGGGAAAAAAAAATTATACAAAATTTCATACTGCTGAGGCTACGCAATCCAAACATCCGCTTAATGTACCTTGTATGATCATTTCCGGTTAAAACGAGGAAATTGATCCGATCTTATAACTACATAAATCATTGGTAAATGAAAATATAAAAGCATCAAGAAGTGTTATTGTGCTAATTTACATGAAATAAATGAATTTAGTTTATTTTGCGGAGTATAAATTAAATGAGTTCGCCATATAATCTTAAAATCTCAACCTTCCTTGCACCCACTGAAACTCGCCGCCGCCATGTCATACGCCCCTGACCTCAATTCTCAGGTCTGTGCAAAATGGATTTGTTAGCAAGAAAACAATGTGCCTAATGAAACATATGACACGTTTATCACTGCTTTGATGTAGCATAACTTAACTATGTAAATTTACAACAGTCATGCTTAATGACTACCTTCCACATATCAAATTTCACTCAACTTTTCTCTTTTTAAGGACCACATCTGAAATTATAGTCTAAAAACATAAAAAGTACAAAATAAAAAATAATTCAAATTATGGAATATTCAGTTCAGTTGAGTTCAGCATATAAAATGATACTAAAGTTAGCTAACTTTAATATTGTCTACAACAATTGCAAGCAGACTAAGTTTACTAAGTCAAAGCTATTATTATTATTAATAATAATATAATAAGGCAGTGTCTACACGTCCGGCGACTGGACAAATAGTGCGGGAGATACTCTTCCAGCGTGCATGTCACGTGACAGCCGGATGACTAGTATGTGTTATTATTCCGGCAGACATATCATTGACAAGAGGTTGTCGGCAAAATAAAAAAAAGAATAAAAGTCTGTTATCTTGGTTTAAATATTTATAAAGCTCTACCTAGTAGCCGAAATTTAAATTTAAAATATGAACCAAACAAAATAAGACCAATACTTCCCAGTTGACTGTCAATAGATCAACTGTCAAAAAATGTTTTATTTTCGGTTATTAATATTGTGTCAGAAGTAGGTTACCCCAACAGCACACTACATTGGCATTGGCCCTATCTTAAGATATGGGGTCTATTTCTTTGTGAACTTTCAACCTCCCTACCTTAATTATTTATTACCCTCACTATCATTTTTATTCTTTCTCTCTCGCTCTCAGTATTTCTCCCTTCCAGTATTATGCATTGCTTCCCCCCCCCCCCCCCTCCCAATCTCCGACATCAGTTTATGATTGACTATCAGCAATCATGTGACAAGACTGACGGACAGATATCTCGCCCAACTTCGATACGGCGGTCATGTGACCTCATCACCGGACGAATATCTAGAGAATTATTCGTCCGGTCGCCGGACATGTAGACACTTCGAAATTATAAACCCATGACTTCAAGTACATTCTATTCTTACTGTCACTACTAACAAAGGTATCTTCTAAGTCTTAGATTAAAGTTGAATTTAAAAAAGAACTTGCCCCCACACCTTCTATCCTTCATATTAATAACTAATACAAATTAAAAAAATGCAGGACCTAGATGAGTCTCTCGACAGGGTTTGTTAAAATCTGGCAGGGTCAATATTTTTGTTGCCCCCTCCCGCTAAAAAATCAGCCCCTCAATATTAAGAAAAAATTCTGCCTGGGGCGGATCACCCCTCCCATCCCTTTATGGTAGTGTCTACATGCCTTGCTATATTCTCAAATAGGATAGCCTATTTTGACAGTCACATATTTTAGTTGCCAAATATGTGGAAGGCATGGTTCCCACAGGCGGGCAATCAGAATATTATGCCATTGGAATTGGAAATGTATTAACAATATAAAAATTAAATCACTCTAAATGTAAAAAAAAATATTTTTTTTTAAGCAAAGACTTTTTGTGAAATTAACATCATTAATATTTGAAATTGTGCTTAACAATTTTCTTAAATTGGAAATATAACAATGTAGTTTTAGCAAGGGCATATCTAATTTTGAAAAAATAGCCAGATTTATCAAGGACTGAAAAATTATGATTGTTCTGATCAATTCACATACATGTTAAAATGATTAAAATAAACTTACTTAGGCTCCCCAAAAACTTGGACACAGTATTTGCAAAATGTTAAAAAAAAACTGGTGACATGATTTTTGCCCATTTATTGTTTGGTAAAAATAAATATCTACAAATATAACAATAAACATTTTTGGTAGAAATTATTGTCTTCTGAGGACAGGAATACATGACTGTTTTTACAATTGGATCATTTGGACCTGTAGTCTATAGACTACTATTCATTTTGGTGTTTTTTTTTTTTTGCTGCTCTTGCTTGATTTTTAAAGTTGACCGTACTAAATGAGACATAATTTTTAAATAATTATATTGCTTTCATTCATTTACATCAGTGGTTCTCAACCTTTCTAATGCAGCGACCCTTTAATACAGTTCCTAATGTTGTGGCGACCCCCAAAACCACTAAATTATTTTTGTTGAAACAACATAACTGTAGAGTTGTTTTTTTTTCAGATTGTCTTAGGCGACCCCTGTGAAAGGGTCATTCGACCCCCAAAGGGGTGGTGACCCACATGTTGAGAACCGCTGATTTACATTTATATGTAGGAAGTTTTAGAGGTTTCCAATAAACAGATCAACTATCTATTTAATCAACTAATTAAATGAGATATTTAAATATTTCTCAGATGTATTGAATAATCAAATGACCAATATATCTGACATTATATAACAGTGAAAAAAGAAAATTGGTTTACAAAAAGATTTTAATTTTACAATATTCTATCTCCCTTCTGCTCTTTTTAAAAAAAAAAAAAAAAAGAAATTATCATTATATTTGCCATTACATTTTAATCTATCAGAAACTGTTCACAAGCAATAATTACTTTATGTTTTTCTCTCTCCAGGTTGTAACTTATTTAAATTCCAAAGGCTTCAGTAGAAATGATTGGATGCTGCAACACTGAAAATAGAAAATGTTTGACCAAAAAATCAGGTTTGACAAATTTAACTGCCAAAATTTGGCTGTAACAGCAAGACTGCACCATCAGACCAAAGGACGTATTCGGAACATATAAATGCCTTACAAATTAAACAAGGAGCAAATGTTGGGGGTGATAGATTGACTCCAGGAACTTCGGTTTGTGCTAACAGTGCCATAAAAAGCAATTAAATTTTCAGTGCTGATACATTTTAACATTAACTCATTTCAAAATCTCTTCAACATTCAGTATTAAGTGCTTTTGTTCATTTGATTGGGAAAAAATATATATAGTTTAGCTTTAAAAAAAATAGATGTATAAATTTATCATACATTTTCTTTAACATTCGAGTCCTCAAATGCCTTGTGATATTGTTATTTTTTAAAAGAATGGATTATACGATGGATACATTAAGCTTAGAAGGGGATCACCCATGTGGAGGAAAATACGAAATGTCACCCAGTGGAAGATCCGTTGAAACAACTAGACACTTTGTGCCATCGGGTGATGAGGGTGTTGACAGCGCAGGTGAACATTTGATTCCATCGGACACAAAACGGTCCAGTCAGGCTGACGACAAGCAGATGCCAGCAGTTTATGGCATAGAACAGAGCCGTAACAAGTCAGGAGATAATGGCTACGAGGAGGAGAGAAGCATTATGGCTGTTGGAGGGGACAGTGGAGCTCACAGACAGCCTATGGCAAGACAGGGTTATCTGTACCAGGAGGATGAGCGAGAGCTGCCGGAGAGTATGGAAATTGAACATCAGGAAGCCGTTAAGAGGCTGTCCACGTACTATCAAAATGACATGAGGCCTGTAGGCATAAAAGATGTAGAAAACAGAAGCAAGGGGAAAAAGCCCATTGACACAAACTACAGCCCAGTGGTTTCAGATTTTCTTCCTCTAACTGGGGACTCAAGCTATGCACAATCACATGAGGACCAGCAAGACTTTGGTCATGTGGATCGCAGTGGTTCTCAATCCCAGCAAGGAGTTTCAATGAGGTACATGGACCATAGTAATCCTCAGGAAATGGATGCTTCTTTCCCTTACATGGAGACTCCTAAAGGAGAAGACTCTCAACAATCAGAGCGCTCAGAATATCCACAGCGCTCCAACACTGGAGATATTCATGGGAGTTCAGAACGCATAGAGCTTTCTGAAAGTATACATGAACGTGACATGTCAAAAAATGAATTTAATGTTCAACATGGTGATAGTGCCAATATAAGTTTGGGAAGCGGTTTTAACGAATTTTCAGAAAGTTCCACTGTGCCTAGAGAAAGAAGGGATGAAACAAAGGGCAACACTGGACCAAATTTATCAAAAGATTTCAGTAGCTCAGCACATGACGACACCAGCGATACAGGACAGAACTCAACATTTGACCACCAGGATGTCAGCAGCCCAAGCCCGACGGGGGAAAGTGACTCGGGAAAACCCAGAAGGAAAGTCTCATTGTCTGAGTCAGAGGATGAGGTTAAACCATCAATGGGTGAACTTGACGAGTTCAGTCAAGGACATGAAAATGGGGCGTCAGAATCCTCTGAAGACACCGACAACCTAAGCGATGATGAAAATGAAACACCAGATAACCAGGTGGGAAAAAATGTTTCTGAGGGGGAAGGAAAGGATGAGGATGTACAATCTGTACAATCTATCGAGTCTCCGCCCTCTCCCCCAATTGGCGGAAGACGAAAATATCGGTGCAAAGAATGCAACAAGACATTTAAATTAAGAAAGGACTTGACCAGACACGTTAAGACCCATGCTGCCAGCAGAAAATATTCCTGCTCTGTGTGCAACAGTGGCTTCCCAACTAAACCTTTACTCAAGAGGCACATGTCGACCCACACCGACAACAGGTCCTACTCTTGCCAGGAGTGCTCAACTATATGCAACAGTGTTGCAGAGCTTAGGGAACACAAGCGCTCCCACCCTCACGTCCGCGCCTTTTCCTGCACTATTTGCGCGTACAGCGCCAAACGCCAGAAAGACTTGACCAAACACATGCTGGTGCACACTGCAGATAAGATCCACAACTGTCAGTTCTGCAAGTTTTCCTCCAAGCGGAAATACAGTTTGCAAAGACATATGAAAACTGCCCATTCGACAGCCCAGATTTTTGAATGCACCGTATGTAACTTTAAAACCAGTGCTATTGACAGTTTTAAAGTACATGTCGCTATGCATGCCTCCACCAGGACAATCACTTGCATCATCTGTGGGGCCGTAATTAAGAAGCGAACTAACCTTATAGAACATTTGTTGGGTCACTCAACTGATCCTGAGTCGTCATGCAAGGAATGCGAGGAAACATTTTCCGCCAGCTATGAATACATATTACATCTCCTCTCACACAAAGATTTGTCGATGGGCTCAGAGGACCAGATCCAGCCATCCATATTTGACCTGAACCCTCCTTTTTTCCCTAATGGCAGTGCAGACTTTTCGGGTTCTTATGGTTTCCTGGGGAAGAAAAACAAAATGGTGATGGATACGCCAACCATGGAGGCCAAAATTGTACAAATGTCAAGCGTTGCTGCACGCCTGGCAGACATGACCAAAGTGGTCACGCTTTTGAATGAGAAAAATAAGGTTGTGTTGCAGCTCGGGGAAATTTCCACCTTGGCCACAGAGCTTGCTGTCATTTCAGGAAATGTTTTGCAATCGTACAAAAATACATATAGCATAGCTGGCGGTGCCAAGGCTAACTCTGCATCCAATGACACAGAGGATGAATCAACATTCATGGATGATGATTTCGGCCTGTCCTCAGTCCTGACACTGACGGCGGCTACAATCAAACAAGAGTTACAAGACACGTTTCCCAACGCTGAGGCTGGCATGCAGATACAGGTGGATTTTAATGGTGACCCTATTTCATGTATCCAAAAAGACGAACCCTACAGGCCACGGGGGCCTAGGTCAAAATATGGAGGCGGTATGAAATGTTCCCGTTGCAATCTTATGTTCACAGATACACGCAGCTTGAAGCGCCATATGATGGCCCATGATGATGTCAGACCTTACTCCTGTGAAAAGTGCGGTCAGTCTTTTAGACGGAATGAGCACCTGAAAAAGCACATGGTCACTCATTCTGATGAACGGCCATTTACCTGCAAAGATTGCCCCTATGCAGCCAAGACTGAGCACAGGCTGAAAATCCACATGTTGTGTCACTCTCAGACAAAGTCTTACTCTTGTCAGCACTGCACCTACACCGCACGTACCAATTATGAACTCAACCACCACATGAAGAGACATGAGCCTCGCACATGCTCGCAGTGCAACTTTGTTTGCTACTCTCGCCCTGAGCTGAGGAAGCACGTGTTCACCCACTCGTCCTTCGACTGCAGTGAATGCGAGTTCACCACCAACGACCGGTCCGAGTATACAAAGCACACCAAAAAGCACTCGCTTGTCCAGCACCTGTGCTGTGAGCTGTGTGGCTACTCATGTGACACCATGAAAAAGTTCAAGTACCACAAGCTAAGGCATGAGAACAAAACCCCTTACCAGTGCCAGGACTGTGATTACAAGTGCAGCTCACGTGCCAGTTTTGATTGCCATCGGCTGAAACATGCCGGCCTCAAACCTTACCTTTGTTCATTTTGCGGGGCGGCTTTCAGGAAAACGTCCCACCTGAACCAGCACCTGCTCATTCACAAAGATGAAAAAGCTTTCAAGTGCAGCGAATGCGGCTACGCATGCCGCACCAAACATAACCTAAAAGAGCACGAGATGACCCATTCCGGAGAGAAGCCATTTGCCTGCAAGTTTTGCAGCTTCTCCTGTCGTAGAAACAAAATATTACAGTTGCACATGTTGAAACACGAGAGTCATAGTATGCTCATGCCACAAATGCAAATGCCGCTTATGCATATGCCACCCCTGCAACTTCCACCCCCAATGCTACACACACCTATGATGTCACCCCCATGCTTGTAAACAGTTGTATCAAGAATTTGATAAAATTGAAGGTGATTTTTTTTTAAAATTTAAAACATAAATGCAAATAATGTGTATTAAAATGCTCAACAAACATCTTTAAAGTATACTAAATATAAATTATAAATTTTTTGTATACATCGCATGTTTGTAATAGATGAAGAACCTAAAATTAGAACCGTCTTTTCTTAATGAAATTGCAATCGGGACCAAACTAAGGATGAAGAGAACATCTTTCCTCAATATGCATTTGCACCATCTCATTGTGCATGTCAGCCTGAAATATTTTAAAAAAAAGAAGATTTAGTGTCCATATTTTTTTACTTTATTAACTGTAGATTTTTTTGTCTTGCAACATAGCCAGAGTAGCCAAATAATTAAATGTCCTTCTTTCCTTGAAAATATTCAGTTACTAATTGTTCCAAATAAATTTTAACTATAGTTTTATTTTAAAACATTTTGTTCTCTGTAAATACACAGGTACGTTAATTAAGACTTCTTTATGAACTAATATATTAATTCATTGTATGCAATTTAATATAAAATTTCTCTTTATAAATAATTATTGGCAAAGAGATACGCTAGTTACTGCTGCTAAGCTTTTTAAAGAATACCAAAAGTTCTATGATCCATCAAACCACGTATGTACAATACTGAATATATGTCTCAAATAATATGGCCCTGGAATTTCTGGTTGGGGATGTAATCCCATTTTTTTCCCCTTCTCTTCATTAATATTTCATTTGGTAACTTCTCATGGATTCATAATGTATCTATCTTTATAGCTAACTTGGGTGAGGGCAATCACATTGTTGTGTGACTAACTGAGAAAAAGGAGTTTTGTTTTAAAAACTTTTTTTTTGGTGTTTATTTCTAATAAACCATGTTTACTTTTCTTTCTTCTCACTGCAGCTTATTATCTCATCATGTTACACAACTCTTGTCAAATCAATGGTAGCAGTCTTGGTTCTCGATTTAATGTAATGTTATTATTTTTGTTTTTGGAAGAAATTATTTTATACTTGATATGTAAATATTGAATTTCTAATTTTAAATATTTGTTTTTTTTTTGTTTTTTGTTTTTTTGTTAATGGAAATCTATGTTTATTCCAGAGGCTTTGTAAATGTTGAAAGTTTGAAGTTTATTTATGTGCTATATCCGGAGTTGGCAGAATAATCTATCTGGCCTTAATATAGACTTTATTTATAAAGCTGAGTAGTGATAGTGGCAGAGGATTTGAACATGAGGTAAAATATTTTTGTCTGACCCCTTCCACTAAAAAGGCAACGCAAAGGCCATTGATGAATGAATTGAAAATGTTGTATGTTTTTTTTTCAATCTTGAATTTAGCTGGGAAAGATGGAGAAAATATCTGAATTGGTTCAAACTTTCATTTCTGAAAATTGGCGAAAAATTTATCTAGGTTGGTTTCCCTTTGTGCTGTGACTAAGGTTGCACCCCTCTTGAGCTGTGCCTAAGGTTGCTTCCCCTCTTTGTTTCATTGTGATTCATGGGCTCTTATTTAAATAAATAATTTAAAAAATTTCTCTTTGCTTTCTTACATGCAATGCTTACATTAAATATTAAAATATATATTTTTATTTCAAATTTTTCTTTTTTAAACAGAAAATCTTATAAGGTACTGTAATCATATTTATTTAATCTTCACCACCATGTACTGTTCTACAGTTGATCTGTTAAATGTTCTTTGATTTGCTCATGGTTCTTTTTTGTTGGTTTGATATTGAGGTTATATATTTTATTTACCATAATGTGTTAAACATATGTGGGATGGTGAGGGAAAATAATGTGTTAAATAATAAACAGTTAACTGTCTGGAAAGCATGGCAGCATATATTTCATGTGGAAATTTTATCAGAATTTTTTTTCTTTCAAACAAAAATATAAACTGCCTGTACAATATCCATTTTTCCCCCTTAATTTCGACAAAACTCAGAACAGGGCGACAGTGCTGCATTAATGTTATAATAACAAGGCTGACTAAATTGTTATTTCACACTTTGTTCTGATTTTTATAAATTCTTTAATAGTGAATACAATGCTTACGTTTGGTACACTGCCAGGTGATATTTGTGCCTTTTTAAAAAAACAAAAACATCTTCTATTAGTTTCATAAATTGTATATTAATAGTCACTCTTCGAACTATTATTTATAGCGGTTAATCTTTTTTTGTGTAACGAGCTTCTGTCTTCAGGCTACCATTGATATAACCCTAGAAATCTGTATTCTAATTATTCTTATTATTATAGTTCATCAGCAGTCAAACGTGTGTTAACTTAAGAATCAGCAGAAAAGCTTGTATATTTATTTAATAAAAGTAATACAAAAGATTGAAAGTTTTAACATTTTCCAGCATTGTACAGCAGCATTTACACCTTAAAGAATATAAGTAGAAAAGAAAATTCTGTAAATTATTTTGTTCTACCTTTATGACATTACAAACACTTGTTTTATCCGAAATTTTTTTTTATTTTTTTAAAATTTCTGCCATCAATTCAATTTCAAGATTTGCTGCTAAGTTTTTCTTCCCTTTGAGCAGACACAAGAACTTTTGGTCTAAACTTTAATTTCTGCTTTTTGGTTAAAAGGTAATTAAAATCTACTAGACTTAATATTTACAATTGTGCATCAATGTGAGTAAATTTTGGTTTGTACAATTTAAACAAAATTTAAATTCATTCGTTTAAAAGTTAGTTATTATTTTTTAGATTCCATGAATTATTTTTATTGATTTGTTAGATTCAGTGAACTTTTTTTATAAGTTTGTTAGCTTCCAAAGCATAATACTGGTATTCAACTTTTAGTGCTGTTGACACAAAAATGGACAACATGTGTAGACAAGAATCCTTAGATTTTTATGCTACAAAAAACTCAACTATAAACAAGATTAGGCTTTTGTATTGTGATAGCTTAGCACACCAGTGATTTCTCTGTGTACATAGATACTGCAAGCAAATGCTGTGAACTGATTTTCTTATGTACTTGTTGCAGGATACATGTAATATTTTATGTGCTTGTCATGCGGGGCTGAAATTTATTCATGTTACATTTTTTAAATCACCCTTTAAAAGAAGTGATCACTTCAAGGGACCTTTATAAATTTGAAATGTTAGTCGACAAGATTTCCCAACTGGGGCTCAGCATCATTTATTATTTATGTCAATACCCCGGTACTGAAACTCCATTTTTTTTTAGGTTAATGTTAGTGACAAAAGTTTCAGTACTGGTATTTACATTCAGCATGAGAAAGCAACTGATTTTAAACCTCTGATCTGAATGTATGTGGGGAAAACATTTTCAATAGGGTTTGTCAGGCCGGAAAACATCACAGCGCACTATGTAATGTAAATATTTTTAAACAGTGTTTTTGTTAAAAAAAAATAGCTGCAAACAATGCATTTTAGCATGCATACATAGTTTTCACAATTTATGTAAAATCTTTCTTAAAAATATAGTTGTTAGTAAACAAGTATTGGTCTAGGTTAAGCTCCACTTCTAACTTGAATTAATGTAGAAGAACCAAATCGCTGTTGAGATATTGGCCAATCTCCTGAATGTGAAGATTCTCTATTATTATATTTCTGCCATTAAATGACAAACCCTAATTGTAATAATTAAAATATGGACTGGTTCAGAAAAATCTTATATAACATTAATATTAAAAAAATGGAAGAGTTAAAATTCTAAAACTAAAAGTGAGTTTATTTTTATATGAAAAACCCTGCTCCCCCCAAAAAATGTTTTTCAAATGTCATGCTCCATTGATATAGCAGCACATTGATGTACTGATGAACTATCATAACTTATAACTGCTGTTTCTTGTTTATTATTATTATTCAACAGCTTACAGAAGCATCATTTTTATTGTTTTGGGGTGGGGGGGGGTGTTGGATTGGGTTTCTGTGTTTGTGCACATTCACTTCTTTATTTTCACATTTGCAGAGCTTATCAGTTGAAATAAGATATTATTAAATATAAGCAGTGGTTTCCCTATGCAAACAAGAAGAAATGTCACCTTTTGCCATAATTTTGTAGATGTAACCAGGTCCAGGTGTTTTCTATTATGTAAAAAAAATTATTTTCTTGATTTCCATCTTTCTCTTGTTAATTTTATAGTGTAAAGGAATTGTGTAAGTTTTGTAAACACTTTCAAGTGTAATCTAGGACCTGGAGATTCCTTAATCAGGACACTTGTCAATTTATTCCAATTTACATTACATAAGTACAGCACAGTACTGGGTACCGGGTAACATTTTCTGACATTGCTTTTCATCACTAATGTCAGATTTTAAGTTAAAGTTGTATTTATCCAAACTGAAAACTTTAGTCTGAATTCATCATGTTAATTTTGTCTTTAAATCAAAACTGATTAATTTTTAAGGTCCATAGCTTTTATTTATTTTTTTTCCATGAATTGAATGAAAAGCCAAAGTTTTATTTTAAAAAAGACTGCTGTCAATAGTTTGAGAACTTTCAATAAGAGTTTATTCAACCACTTGAAGAGAAGCTCAGAGGCCTGAGGTTGGGGACATCATTGTGAAAACCAATCACAATCAGATATAATTAAATACATATTTTTGATTGTAAAAACCTAAGACAGGTTCTTATATTTAAATGGTTAGTCAGAAAGAAAAGATGGATTAGACAACAGTTACCAATGATGGTGTAAGACTCAGCATTTTGTTTTAGTTGTGTTTCCCCCATCTTACGCTCTTTTCATAGTTAATGTTTATTCATTAATAAGAAAATTAATTTGATTAGTTTACTGGTATTGCATAATTAATTTTGAATCAACTATTTCCATGATTTATGATTTGATCAACAGCACTAAACAGAATCTATTGGACACTGTTTCCGCCTTCGTTTCCTTAACATGCCATTCATACTATTATAATACTATGCTTATCCTGAAAATAATGTCACCCATAATTGATGAAAGGTATCTAGCTGTTTATATTATATTAAATAATTAATTAAAGAATAAGTTCTATTACATTTTAAATTATGAAAAAAAAGATAACTTCTATTTTATTTTCAATCAAAAAACCAGTCTTTGTCATTGTAGTTGTAACTTGTTTATTATTTTCTTCAAAATTTGATAACTGAAAAAAAAAAAAAGCAAAACTTTTGATAACAAAGTAAAATGTACTTCAGTAGTCTTCTGCTACAACAGCACACAGCCTTCACCAAATTTTAATATTTAAAATAAAAGAACATAAATCACAAATATGGTCAGTTGATTGAGAAGTAACATAGTTGACTATTTTTTATATACAGTACTTTTTTTATGGATGAAAATGTACCATGAAGTACTTCAGTTATTATCTGACCAAAAAAAAAATTCAGATAGGATTTGTACATAAGAACTTAAGAGATATCAGCAATTAATTTATATATAGTAAATTAACAAATAAAATATCACCCACAACATGACTATTTTTTCTGAAAACATGTTTCATTTCTTAATCATAGATGAAAGTTTATTAAAACATAATTGATGATTTGAAATATTATTTCACTGCTAGAGTTTCTATTTTAATTGGAAAATGTTTTGGCATTTTAAGCCAAAAACATCAACTCATTCCAAAATATATATATATTGAATAACTTTTTTCAAAGTTAAAATCAAATCTAAATACTAAGTAAAATATAATTTTTGACCAATAGCAAAAATAAATAGACATTCAAACATAATACTTAAAAGTATCACACTTCAGAGAAATAATTGAGCTAAATTAAAACGTATTCCATGGCATGCAACTCACAAAAACATTTGTGTACCGGTAAATATGCATTTTACAATTAGAAGAAATTGAAGTACATTTCTCCACCAGCTAAATCAAAAGTGGTGTAAACTTAAAATAGATCACAATAATGCATGATTTGAACTAATAAAATATTATTATAAATATAAGTATTTACACTCTAGTTCCATTATCCAACACTCTTTCATCAAATATAATAATATTATATCTTTGAATTAATCACACAATGAAACCAATTATATAAATAACAGTTAATTAAAAAAATGACTGACTAATTTGCATATTTATTGAGCATAATCATTTTTAAATGAGTTGCACTTCTTTTCTTTATCTTGGAATTTAATTATTTCATTTTTTCTGCATTGTCTCATTCATAAACAAAATCTATTCTTTCAAAAAAATTAGTTAAATAGCTATGCTTCACGCTACAAGTAAAAAGTGAAGTTATGGAAAACTGACATAATATTAATAGTACTACAAATACACGCAAAAAAAGTTTTAAGTGGGAAAAGTGTAAGAAACGCTCTACGAACAAGGATTTTTTTATGAGCAGTTTCTCCATGACATCGTGAAATACAAATTTTTTAAAATTTAAAATATTAAAATTCTTAAATATTTTTTAGGGTTAGGGGCCACCCATAAATGACACATCACATCTTGAAAAGGGTGGGGAGGGGTCATGAATTTGTGAGCATTATGTGACAAATTTTTAATAGGGGGGGGGGGGCCTAAAAAAATTAGCCAAAATAGTATGATGTTATTTATGGTGACCCCTTACATAATACAACGAAATTTGAGAGACCTGATATTTTTTTTTAGGTGTCTCCATGTTAATGCTAATTTTCTAAATGTATATAGACTGTATGTATGTATATATGTATACTGTATATAATTAAGAGCTCCTGTTCAGTGATACATTAATCTATAATAATGCAATATTCAAATTTGCCATTTTCTTGGTACGGTAAAATTAGATTGAACAGGGATGAAAGTGAAAAAACAAAAGTTCATTTAAAATGCCTGGACATATGTTGTTTGAGGTTGTACCTTGACCTGGAGGAGAAGGAACAATAGTCGCAAGAATGAGGCTTAATGTCAGTGTGGGTCAGTTTGTGCCTGTTCAGACGCGATACATTTCGGAATCGCATCCCACAAACAGAACAAAGGAATGGTTTGATTCCTTCATGCTGAAGCAAGTGGTCACTCAGACTGGACCGTGAGCTGCACTTGTAGTCACACTGTGGGCAGGCATGTGGCGTCTTATTCTCATGACGCTCCAAGTGGTACTTCAACCTCTTCTGGGAGTCGCACGTGTAGTTACAGATAGAACAGGTCAGCTCTTCTTTCTCAGCGTGCATCTTCTTATGACTGCTGAACTCTCTACTCGACCGACACACGTAGCTGCATTTCTCACATAGAAATGTTTTATGAGTTTCATTGTGACATCTCATGTCTGATTTCTCATTGCATTTAAAATCACATTTTTCACAAGCAAGCAAGAAGCCATCGTCATGGACCTGCATGTGGTCCTTGAGCTCTTGGGCGGTGAGAAATGTTGCCTCACATACAGAGCAACAATACTGTTGCTCGTTAACGTGAGTTTTTTCATGGAGTTTTAGACGGTACTTTCTGCTGCAGGTGTATGAGCAAAGGTCACAGGTGAAGGCTTTGTCCACACTATGTGTTCGTTTGTGGGCTTTCATGTGATCTCTGCGCTTAAACAATTTCCCACACTCCTCACATTTGTGGGGCTTCAAATCCAAGTGCGTCGTCTTGTGTCTTTGCAGCATGGTGTTGGTCAGACAGATGTAGCCACACTCCACACAGATGTGGGTCTGTTTTGACGAGCTATCGCTATCACTTTTAGAATTAGATTTACCGCTGTCCAGGGTGGCTCCTGTTTTCTGAGCTTGCGATTTGGATTTTTTGTTAATTTGATCACATCTCTGGTCTGAATTGAGGTCACCCGAGACGTCACTCTGCGACATGTCATCCAGATGGGAGTCATCATGGTCAGCTATTTGTTGTTGACTTACTGCTTCTGGGACAGACTGTAATGAAGGCAGGGGAGGGATAATCCTAGCTGGTAGGTGTGTGTTGATGTCAGGCATGTTTTGGTGCATCATGGGCAAAACAGGGCCAGGGTTCACTGGGTAAGTGTTGCTGGTACTGGGTCCCATGTAGAAATTCATGTTTGGGTTCATATTTCCAGGGAATACGGTTTCATTGTAAAAATAAGGATTAGCAAAGCCATAGCTGCTGGGTCCATTTCTGTCCACGTAACCAAAGCTGGGGTTCATATGAGCCAGGTTTATACCTGGGTTGTACGCAATGGGGTTGCCTTGTCCTAGAAATGGGTTTGTATGCTGGTAAGTCTCAGGATAAGCAGAGTTGATCATAGCTGATCCAGACGGGCGTTCCACTTGAAACTGGTTGATATTTGTGTTGTTGTCCCTTTGGTAAGTCGAATGATATAAGCTTTGGTCCACTTGTTTCTCTCTTGCTTTCATTAGCTCACTTATGTCCTGCTGGTCTCTGGGCAAATAGTGGCTGGTCACATTGACTTGGGAAGCAGGAAGTTTTGCATGGTCAAGACTGTCTGGGAAAGTTGAAGTGATTTCCGGTTGTGGATGAACAGATTCTAGATAAATGTTGGAGCTCATCTGACTCAAGATGGATGGGATGTCTGGCTGGTAGCTCTGTTTTATCACCTCTGTTGTCGGTCGGTTCGTGTTGGGCTGTTTGTTTTCTTTGGGTTTTGCAGGCTTCCTGGTTCGCCTACGAGATTTTTCCTGGTCCGTGTGCCGCAGCGTGTGCTGTTTGAGATTATACTTGGAGCGAGATGAGAAGTCGCAAAAGTCACAGCCGTACGGCTTAATGTCAGAGTGCACCAGCTTGTGTCTGTTGAGCCGAGATGTGTTGCGGAAAGCCATACCACAAACAGAACAAAGGCAGGGTTTGATCCCGGCATGGCGCAGCAGATGGTCCGTGAGGCTGGAACGTGAGCTGCACTTGTAGTCACAGTGGGGACATGAATGGGGGGTCTTGTTATCATGCCTCTCTATGTGATACTTCAGTCTCTTCAGAGAGTCGCATGTGTAGTCACACTTTTCACACCTCAGCTCAACACCGCCATTCTCCAGCTTGTGCTCAGGATCGCCGTCGGGTTCCACCTCCATTCTGTGCTTGTTTCTCATGTGGTACCTCAGTTCACAGTACCGCCTGCACTTATAAACACATGCTGAGCATGAGATGGGTTTGTGGGTCTGGTGGGTCAAGATATGCAATTTAAGACGGTATTTGCGGTGAGTTCCATAGGAGCAGTGGGGGCACTTGTGGGGTCTTAAATCACTGTGAGTGAATTTGTGAACTTTTAAATGATCTTTCCTTTTAAAAGATGCCCCGCACTGCAGGCATATGAAAGGCTTTGCGTCCGAATGTCTACGCATGTGTCTACGCAGTACGTTTATACTACCACAGAAATAGTTACACGTTGTGCACTGAATTGACCCCCCTTTCAGTTTTATAAATCCCTGGGTCATGACTTCCTTAGAGTTCTCACCAGGATTTTCAGCTATGATTGTTGCATTGGAGCTGTCATTGTTTTCATCATACTCTTTCTTGATGTCGCTGTATTCGTCGTGGGCTTGGTCTCCGTTGGCAACACTCAGCACTTCTCCACCAAGGACATCTTTACTTGGGGGTTTCCGTGTCTTCACACCGTTTTTATGCAGAGATTCATGTTTCTTTAAATGGTCTTTTCTTTTAAAAGCGGCCCCACATATGTCACAGGGATATGGGCTGATGTTTGAGTGGGTTACCATGTGCTTTTTCAGGGCCCATTTCAGCTTAAAGCCCTCCCCACACAGGACGCAGCTGTACGGACGAAGGTCTGAATGCCTGGTCAAATGATTGTCGAGCGCACCCTTGATGTGACTTCTGTACTGGCATAAGTGACAGGAGAACGACGCCTCTTTGTTGTGGATGCGCATGTGTTTCTTGAGATATTTCAGTCTCTTCCCGGAGTAGTCACACTCGGAACATTTGAAGGCATTTTTGGAGCCATGGGTTTCCTCGTGCTTCTTCAGGTCAGATTTCCTTTTACAAGAATACCCGCATGTGGTGCAGGTAAATGGTTTAACCTCAAGGTGGGTCTGTTTGTGCTGTTTAAGATTTCCCGCTGTCTTGCAACTCATACTACATTCATCACAGGAATATGGCTTATTGAAGTTATTGGCAAGGGAGACAGACTGGACTGGTGAGTGAGTTTTGGAAGACTTTGATGTTTTAGCTGCAGCAGTCTTCATGCAGTAGGTTAAGGCATCTGTGTCAAATAGTTCTTCATCTTCAGAATTTATTTTATAGGTCAAGGGCCTTTTGCCAGCTTTTAACCTCAAGCTTCGACGACTGGGCTTATCAAAACAACTAGCATTTGCAGTATCACGTTTGTTCTCTGATATCTTTTCTGCTTGAGAACCTAGCACATCATTTTCATTATGTAAATTAATGATATTTTTGGAAGAGCTTTCTTTGTCATTTTGCACTGAAGGATTTAAGTTTCCAGTTCCGGTATTATCATTGATTTTACTGAGACTTTCAGCAGCCACATCATTGTCCAAGTCATCTACAAGAAACATCTGTAATGTCCCTGCTTCTGATTCTGTTGTGACAACTTTCACCGAGGAAGACATGTTTTCATAATTTTTCGTTCCCTTCTTATCCTACTCTCTGTTAAGCCATTAACATGTATTCGACACAACAACATTATGAAGAATTGCATCCTTTATACCTTCGGAGGAGAGCCATGTCTGTCTGCGGCATCATGACATTAACTATTTCATACATTTTTGACAAGAACACTGTCAACTTTTTGGGGTTTTTACAATCAATATGACGTTGCATGTTTTATCTGAAATATATAACAAAGAAGAACATTTTATAGTACCGTTATACTGAATTATGTTATGGTACTACTCATATTTTAAACAATTATCTTTTAGTTTTGCTATAGCATTCTTTTCCCTTTTTAAAACATGGTTTCTCCCATTATTACTTTACATACTATGCCTTTTACTCTGTCTGGGGCATGGGCTGTCCTACAAGAATTTTCCATTCATCTTCCATTTATTGTACCGGGCACTGGTCTGGTATGGCATTAAAATTAGATATTTCAAAAAAAAAAAAAATTTTTAATGGAAATATTTATTTCTAGTAAGTGTTTTATTGCATTATTTTGCATTGGATTAAAAGGAAGTAAAATGATTATTTATATTATATACTGGTATATAACTTGATACAATGGTAAAGGGGGATAAATTTAATAGCCATATTATCACCTTTATTATTAATGAGGATATTATTGATAATTCTATATTACAGCCAAAAAGTATACCAAACTCAACTATCAATTTAGAAATTATAATTGTTTGGCAATCACCAATCATTACAGATTTTTGGGGTTTGCTTACAAAGTTATTACCGTAATAAAAAAAACGAAGTGTCTACACGTCCGGCGCGCCGGACGTGTAGTGCGCAAGATACACGTCCGGCGACTTGTCACGTGACCGCCGGACATGGCCGGACGGCTAGTAGTTTTTATAATTCCAAACGAAGTACGATTTAGTACATCTTGTCTGGTCTTGTGGTAGAGTGGTTGCTTGACGATAGGAATGTTTGAGGATCTATACCGGGGATAGGGTAGTTTTTTTTCTTCCCATTTTAATTAAAATATTTTGTATATATTTATATTATCATGTTCCTCAGCAACAGTAGTTTCATGAGAAGTTTTTAAATATTTTGTAGCAATTGAAATAATTTAAAATGAAATCTTTAACTTTTATTGGTTGCCACACTGGCCCCTAATTTAT